TGCCCTTACTTAAGTTAAGAGCACATGTTTCAACACAACATTACAGATCAGCAACATCAATCAAGGTATAAAGACAGAAATACCCCTATGCTAACAGTGTGCCTGAACTGCCATACTGCTTTGTTATTGTTTGCCGACCAGTCTATCACAACTTTGGAAACCCCTTCTGCTACTATTTGAAATTCAGAGGTCTGCCTATTCTAAAACTCAAACCTTGTAGGATAGCTAGAACTTCTGTCCATAAAGAATCTCCGACACACACCAGACCCAAATACATAGTTAAAATAGTGTTGTGTACACCTATAAAAACACCACCTATACTGATCTTTGTATTCTCCTCATATTCCTCTTTTTTAGGACAATATAGATTATCCAAACGAATGCCCTAAACACTCAATGAGCATATATTGTTTGCTTTCCCCTTAATAGGAGGGTCGAGACTGCACTGCCCAACTAGTAGCTGTATCTGGGCCTACATCCTTACCAGCCTAAACGTGTATTGGCTCTAGTCTTCCCAAGAACAACTCCTGAGACCTTAGCTAGCTGGCATATCAGTGGCCTCAACAGGAAAGAAAGATTCATTGGAAAATGATCCCTGTTGCTTTGTTGTGGACTGTTTGGACAGAAAGAAATAGTAGATTTTTTTTTTACAAAAATAATGCTTACAAGCTAATGAAATTCAAAGAAATATGGTTGCAAAGATCTAGTCCAGGGCCACTGCCTCATCTATAGATGAAATTTCTTTTCCAATTGTATTTAGTACACTTTTTGTAATCTTTTTTGTCATACACTCTGATCTGTACAGTCACTGTATTGGGGCCTCACTCTCTCTTTACCTCAGAAATACAAATTAATATGCTTCCCCCCTTCTCAAAATATAGGAGGGTGGAGACAACTCCAATTATTCACCTTTTGTATAGGTTACAACTTACAAATGAATATGCTTGTGGGTGGAATAAATACCGCAACAGTATCGGTAAATGAAATCCATCTGTCTTAACATCTGTTAAAAACTATTATTTCTCATTCCAAACARTCTCACCAATGTATGTTTATCAGCTTGTGGTTGTCTGTTGGGCAAACTATCCATTGTCAACAACTGAGAAAGGAAGAATATTAATTTGGATTCTGTTGTAACTTGTAAGGATCGGACAGCTAAAATTGTTTCGTATTTACTTAGATCTTGTGGGTGCTACTGCAGCCTTTTTTATTTTCTCTCTCTCTCTCTCTTCTTCTTTTCTTCTCCCTAATATTTATCCTTTGCTGCTGTTATTTCCATTACAGCAAGCTATTCTCAAATGCTTTCATACTTCCATTCTTATATACTTGTTTCTAGTTGCTCTACTACTTTGTCTTTGTAAGTAGTATCCTGTGCTACTAACAATTGCCCAGGCATAGGCTGCACCCTCACCACTTCACTATATGTGCATTAAGTAGCAAGGATTCAACTGTACTTACTTCAAATATTAAGTTATTTATCTATTTTTAAATAATATTATTCGAGGGCCGAGGAGGGAAATGGTATTGAGAGTTGATAGAATGATATTCTCAAAGAACCATTCATCCTAAAAGCTTAAGTTGTTAAGTGAGGTCCTTGAATAGGTTTTATTCTCTAACATGCCCCCTCACACGAAAGCCCATTGGGCTTGAAGTGTGGACAGCACAGGCCCACCCATACCTTGTGCTGAAACTTAATTAATTATAATGGGGTGATGAGAATCGAACACTAGACCACTTGATCAAAATGGCTCTGATACCATCTCAAAGAACCATTCATCCTAAAAGCTTAAGCTGTTAAGTAAGGTCATTGAATAGGTTTTATTCTCTAACAGATATAAATAGTCGATTGCTATTTCTACTCATCATATGGATAAGAGAGAGAGGGGTAGAGGATGACATGAAGAGTATAATGATTGGGACTTGTGAGTAGCCCACAAGAAAAGGGAGTATTTAAGGTAAGAATAGATGTTTCCTCACATGAACCGTGGTTCATATTAACTGAATTGTGATTTAAAGTTTCTTTAATCGCGGATCAAAAGCAGTCCCAATCCAGACTTGCTTGAATTGCAATTTAGATGTGAATCAGAGTATTAAGAGGCCCATCTCATCAGTTCTGGGCACCAAGCGTAAATCATCTATTCTCTTCTAACCCTAAATAAAACCATCTTAAATCAGCTTGCAGCCTTCAATATAGCCTTTTCCCTCATCATCATGATTATCATCATCTAAGCCCTTTCCCTCTATTTCATGCTTTTATGGTTGGCATACCATCACAATATCAATTAATTCTCCATTTCCACCCCCCATTTACTCAAAAAGTATTATGTGTACTCTGTTTTAGCTCGTTTATTTTGAATCCTTCAGACCTAAAGATCTAAAAGTTCTAACCCCAGCATTCAAAACTATGTCCTTTGCATACAAGCCAAATCACACAAAGTACAAAGAATAAATGGAAGTTATAGAACATGTAGGCACATAGAAAATCAGGTTTGTTCACCATCTAATCGGACAAATCCAACTACAAACTTCATGAGATGCTTAATGATGTTGTTAGTATTTATTTGTATTATTTGCTAAATGAACAATGTGTCAAACAATTATCCAAACTCTTTTCATAAACTGGTCACCAAACTGTACATCTACACTCATGGCCAACCACTTTAGTAAGGTCCCCTTTTGATGTACAAATTGGGCAGAGGTGAATAAGTAATACTGTAACAGCACAATCTCTTCCTAAACTGAAGTTGTTTCAGCCACACAGTCTCCATATAGAGAAATAATGCATCATTAGTATAAAAAGTTACAAACAAGCAGTACATGACTAGTTAATTTTCCTTCACCTTATGCCATAGTTTTTTTAAGCTGATATAGAGCTTAGTTAAATTGAGTTATACTGTATATTTTATGAGTTTCCTTTAATACTTTATTTGATCGACTAAACTCTCAATTGAGTCCACATGACCAATTATGAAATAACATATCAACATGCATATAGGTCACAAATAATTCACATTTAAAATATTCAGCTGATCACATAGAACCCAATAATCAACAAATAACATGAGATAAAAAAAGGCACAAAAACAGCATTAGAAATCTCACCTCACACTCTCTAACATTTCCATTCAAGTTGAAACAATGAGAGATTGTACCATCAATTGACCTTCCTCCAAAACCCCAAGCAGGAAATTGTTTATCAGAATCATAGACTTGAATGACCTCTCCAACCTCAAGTATAGCCTGCACAGGAGTTGACAGTTACGACATCTACCTGGACACAATATATTTGGACAGAAAAGGCATATTACTGTAAAACTTGTTACAAGCCCAAATCAACATTCGGAATCCTATAAGTACAAGAAATGATCAATAATCAATTGAAATTTRCATGTTGCTTGCATGTCAAGGTCCTGCAGAACAGAGAAAAGTGAATGTCCCCCACAAGATGAAAGTAACTGTACACCTATCCATGGAGTAAGGCCTACAGTCCTATCATGTGTAAAACTACTAATTCCACAGACAAACTATGATATTCAACACCAAGAAAACAATTTGCTTCATTTCCTGTGGAAAAGGAAAAAAAGATAGAAAGTGTAATCTGTAACCTGCTGGTAAGCATTCAGTCTTCCTGATGGATCAATATAGTGCAAAGATTCCGGGAGTCGAGGATTTCCATTTGAAGCTGAAAAAGGAGAAAAAAAAACTTTAAATCATCATCTGAACAGGTTCAATTGCAATGACAGCACCAAGACACTAACTAAAACATAACACCACCAACTGGAGGCAACATACCTGTGAAATCAACAGCAACCATAAAGTTAAGTTCAAATCCACTAGAGATGTAATCCAAAAAACTGTACAGCAATTTCTCACAAAACCCATCTACAAAAAGCTGACCCTTCAGAATCTGTAGAAAAAAGCAGTGAAGGCAAGGGTAGTTAAACATGGCAACATTCAAGATGCAGGGGGATGATGAACACAATGTCAAATTATTAGAGGCAAGATCCTTGTTTTTAAGTATTAACAACTATAGTTGATTCCCCGGCCAGAGAAGGGGTGGGTAGGGAGGAGTGAGCTATATATTAGGGTCCTTCTTGAAAGGCTTAGACCAAAAGGTTGAATGTATTGGGATGTTAAATCACATTGGGAGTTTTTATTTTTACGGTATTTGCACACTTAAAATCATTGTGATTTTTACTGACCAACAAAATCAATCAAGATATAATAATATATAGCAAAATTGTTTTACAATTCAAAACAAAACAACCACCTTCTCATGGCCTTGTCGACCAGAAGATGGTAAGTGAAAATTTGCTCCAATCTTTTCCTTGTGAAGTCTTTCCAGGTCTGCAACTGACTTCTGAAGCTTCCTGATGAGGGAGAAAACCAATGAGAAGTTAAACTATGTCAAACATAAAGAAGAATAATGAAGAAAATTACATAACACATGAGCCCAAAAAATTCATCAGTTACCCATTTACCCTATAATTTCATGTTTTCCACTGCTGTTGAAATCGAAACATTCTATAATTAGTGGGTTATCCTGCAAAACATTGGAAGATTGTTAAAAATGAGTAATAAAAACAGAGATCAGTTTCAACAGGCTCAAACATTGTAAATATTTTAGAACAGTAAAAAGAGGAAGTGAAGTGATATCAATTAGGAATAGAAAATGTTAAAGATCAGATCGGGTCCAACAGCATGATATCCAGTCACATTATGCTCAAAAAATAAAACATAATTCTCTCATTTGTTAAAGTGAGAAACTAAAACAGAGATCAGATCTAACAGGCTCCAACATCATCAACATATTACTACTAGTAATATAAAATGGTAAAAAAGTTGCAAAAAAACAAGGTCCAAAGGCAATGATAACTTCCATGCATATTCACATTATGCTCAAAAAACATAAGTCAGTCATTGGTTTATTACACCATGATAGAGAACCATGGTGTTGAAACCAAAGACCTATTAAGGTAGCCCATAAGTTGTTTGGCTTTCCCAGTATATGAAAATCACCAGCAACCACTGTATAGTTTATCTGATAGTCATAGAAATGTGAGAAGCTTGCCTTGCTTCCATATTGCTGCATAGTCAGGTGGATGGGCTTCCAAGTTGGATTCAAGTTGTTATTCACAACTTCTGTCTTGCAAATTGGAACAGAACCTCCACTTTCAATTACTCTAGATATTCTTAAGAAAGGATCCTGTATGGTAATATAAACATAGGAAAAAAGGAATAAGAACAGCCAAACACATTTATATCCATGTAAATTATGCCCATTAATTTCAAATTAGCTATCTTAAGAATGCATACACTTTTAGAAAAGAGGTCCTTGTTTTCCAAGTGGGAACAACGCAGTATAATTTCTACAGCCTGCCTTGAAACAACAGTTTCCTCTGCATGGACTGTAAGTGTCCCAAATTTTTTAATGCCTGCATGTCCGTTTTTGCTTTGAAGATTAAGTGTCAGACTCCTGGTACTTTTAGTCACTATCTGTCATTTAGACAAAGAAATGTACCATTATGAGTATAATAATTTCCAAATAATTCTCAAGAGAAAATATATGGAAAACTCAATACATATGTTCCACGTTGCAAAACAGCAAAGGTAGCAATAAAGGTGTTATTATCAAATAAGCGCATCACCATTTACTTAAAAACAAAAAATAACCTTGTAATTAGACAAATATTTACAGTTTTGGATACATGTATTTACAGAGACCCTTTAAATTGGGTCAAACATGCTCTGAATCTCAGAGTACAAGATATTTCTATCAATTTCAATTGCTATACCGTGGCCAACTAAGAGCAGACTATTTAGAAAATAGTTTCTACAGGATTTGACCAAATTATGTTATTAAGGTCTCCTTGAGCTAAATGTAATCACAAAAGAGAAATTCCAGAGATGAATTTTAAGCAGTACTATTATGGAATCTGTGGCAACTTACCTCTGATAGAACACAAGTAGCTTCTCCAAGGAATTCTTGCTCGTTTAACTTCAACATCTGCAAGCATACATTATGAACTTAAAAAATTGACAAGAAGCTTTATTAATTTGTTAGGAAGAATGAATTACAAGAAAATGTGCCAGGCATCCCATTTTTAATGCTAGGCTAGCACTGACTACCTAACCCCAAAAACCAACTATTGCTTACATTGTGACATTCAATCCTCTTGGGGGATAATCCCCCAAAACAGATTACTTCCGTTCACCCCCTGCCTAGCCAACTCATTAGCTAGGTTATTGACTGATCTTTGTCTCCATACTTGCTAGAATAGTTTAGTTTGTTTATTGTTATTGGCAGCAGGGTATAATTGTCCTGTTACCTTTTCTTTTGTCTATTTTTTTAACTGTTATTTAAGTTGGGGTAGTTTAATCTGTGTACTCAGCATTATTATTATAATATAAGAGAGGCAGCAGTTAGAGGAGGTTAATTCTCTTCTCTCTGCTACAGCCCTAGTTCTCTCCCAACTCTCTTCTTCTCTCTTCTCTCTTCTCTCCATTCTCCTCTCTCTCTCTCTCTCTTTGATAGGAAACGGTAACTTTCATTAAACTTTAAGGAAACTAGCACAACTGTCACCTTTATAAGCATCATTAAATAGATTACAAACACGCCTAGAATAGATTTTCCCTACTAACTCCTTGCTTTGCTAAGGTATCAGCCATTGCATTGGCTGACCTCCTAGTCCATTTAAAGTGTACTTCAAGCTCCTTTGTTAGGTGCATAACTTCCCTTACTGGTTGTCTAAGGCACCAGATGCCCAAACTGTTAGCTTGCATCCAGCCTACTACCAATTTCGAATCACCCTCCACTTCTAAATGCTGAAAACCCAGTTGTTAAGCCAATTTCAGTCCTTGTAGGAGTGCTAACACTTTTGCTCTAAGAGAGTCCCCCAAACCTATCAGGCCAGGAAACAGGGCCAGGCCTCATCCTTCCCCATCACTAAAACACCCCCAATTCCAGAGGGGCCTGGATTACCTACAGAGCTGCCGTCAAAATTCAGCTTAAGACCAACAGCTAAAGGAGGGGACCGTTCTTCTTGAATTGATATAGAGGAGCAGGATGAACTCACTATTGTGCTCCAACATCTAACCAAAGCATCTACAGAGAAGTCCTTGAGCAGGTCCAACGATTTCAGCCAATGTATAGCCTTGATGGTAATCCCTTCTATGAGTTCATGTGCTGTTTTTTCTTGCCTTTGAAGATTCTGTCGTTTCTCTCTTCCCACACTGCCCAAATAACTGCTGCCCTCATTGTTCTCCACATCACCCTTCCTCTTTTCTTTGGTTGATGGAAAAAGCTAGATTCAAAAATTTCCACCACGATTGGAGGAATTCACCTGCACCCAAAAAGAGAGGAGAACCAATCCCAAATAGAATCCACCACGCTTCTTTTCCTTTTAATTTTTTAAGACAGTTTACAATACTAATGTTGTACTTAATTCCCTTGCCATCTTTATCTATGCATTTGTAGTTCCAAGATCCAGTAGTGCCATTATTGAGACACCTCACAATTACCTTTGAGCGGCCTTCCACCATTACATCTCTGTAGCTAAGAGATATAGACATTGTCAACCCATGCAATAAAGTAGTATTTTAACCCTTGTAGAGTTTCCAAAACCTATAGGCCTACAGAAAATAGCTATAGCACTTACACAACTATTCTTGAAGGCACCATCAGTGACTGAAAGGCTCAGGTTACCCAAGTTACACCCATCAAAGTTAATTTAGGAGTTCGGCAAGAGTGACTAATGAATAATGATCCTATATAAGGAGGAACAAGCCACAACTTGGCATATACAAATTATGTCATCTAAAGAGAAAGGAACAAAATTTTTATTTTTTAAAATTTAGTATCTGCAAGATTTTTTATCTGTCTGTGAAGTGAGTATCATAAAAATCCTCTTTCAAATTGACAAAGAAAAGTGTATGATGCCAACATCAATGTAAGGCACTTTAACTGCAGAAAGTCTCCATATCCATAAATTTGCTCCACTGCCCCATGTCTGTTTGTCAGGAAAATTCAGGTTCCTTAATTGCTTGCAATAATTGAGTATCCAGTCACCTCCCAATGATCTAGATATATGCCAGGACCAARATTGGATAATGGACTCTGGCATTTAACTATTCCAAATGCTGGTACAGTTAAAATAATGTCATAAATTCATCATCTGAAATCCCATACATAGAACTGCATAAGGAGATCCAATTGGGTATGACATGTTGATCCTTTTTTAGAAAAAAGAAAAACATTTCAATTTTATTATGAATAAGCATAATCGCTACTTAGTATGAACATACTAGATGGTTACACTAATCATCTTGCTGTGAGCCTGCAATATGAGGCCTAGAAATTCAACGTTAGTAATCGGGCTTGTCACTGAAACTTACTAATGTCATAGACTCATAGCCAAGTTGAAAACTGAAACTGATGTACCCTCTTAAGACCTCCAGCATAAAGAAAATTCAATAATTAACCGATAAAAAAAACATTTCAATTTTATTATGAATAAGCATAATCGCTACTTAGTATGAACATACTAGATGGTTACACTAATCATCTTGCTGCAAGCCTGCAATACGAGGCCTAGAAATTCAATGTTAGTAATCGGGCTTCACTGAAACTTACTAATGTCATAGACTCATAGCCAAGTTGAAAACTGAAACTGATGTACCCTCTTAAGACCTCCAGCATATAGCAAATTCAATAATTAACCGATAATTGAATACTATTGCTCTCACATGCCACTTCCAGGCAGTATTAGCTATTGCTGTTCTTTTTATCAAATAACAAGAAGTTTTATTAGCATAAATATGATATAGAATGAAGGATAAGGTAACCTCCAACTATGGTACAGAATAACAGACAGAATGTGTGTGCGTGTATAAACTGCTAACACTATGGCTCCACAAAATACAAAATTGACATATCATTTACCTTCAACTATGGCATGTGTTGCTTGTATTAATACAAGTAGCAACCAATTAACCTTTAGTACTATATTAAATAAAACCATTTTTCTCCTTTTTATTCCAAAAATAGAAACTTTAAAGACTTGTCCTTTCTCCTATTTATTTTTCTTTGAAAATGTTGACATCTAAGTCCAAAGTGGATAATTTGGTATTTCCACTGTTCACAATGTCAAACATTGCCACTTTGTAATTTGATATGGACATAGAATAATCTAAGTCAAACGCATCTTACTGTGGTCTAAGATGACACAAGAAAACCAATCACAAAAAAATGTAACATACCTTCACAGGTATATTGTGATATTTGGTGTCAACATCAAAGACATGGAATCTGAAACACATGAAGCACCATTTCAATCAGAAAATCTTACACTAATGGCTGGATAATGTAAACTCATATGAATGACTACAGAGAAACAAGTTAAATACAGGAATGAGAAAATCTTACACTAATGGTTGAATAATCTCAAACTGATAAGCAATGGGAATTTTTCCAATCCAAACAGGATCCAATGTGTTCAGTATTACTTCTGTGCGACCACGTTCCTCAAGTGTTCCATCACTTTTCTTTGCAAACACCACAGCCATAGGGTCACTCTGCAATATAAAAGGTGTTCATAGAAGCAGCAAAATATGTCCATCTAGGTAGTGAAAAAGATTCACAAAGCAGATGCAGAATAGAATTAAAAAAAAAAAGCTTTAATATCATCATAATATACTAACAAGAACAATGAACATAATTTATATATGGAAGTGTATGATTGTCATTATACTTACTGATATTTAAGGTAATTTAAGCAAGCAATTAAATTTGTAGAGATAATGGGCCGAATGGGCCTTAGTTTCTTTGTTTTTCTTTAAACTATGTTKATGACTTGTGTTAGTAGGTACTAGGTAGTGGGCCTTAGTTATAGGCCTGTTTTCTTGTTTTTAATTGTTGTCTTTTAGTGATGGATGCCCCTACTAAGGGCACTCATGTAATTGTCTTTATTTTTTACAACAAAAGAATAAAAGAGATCATTGGGGGCTGAAGAGAGGTTTTAGAACAACTCTCTCTTCTTCTTCCTTTTCTTCCTCCATCACTTCTCTCTCTTCAATCTCCTTCTTTTCTCCTATTTCTTTTCTTTTAATTCAGATTATTGCAGGTGTGATTTACAACTAAATTGGACTGAACAATATATAGTGAAGAGATAGAAGGCATGATTTTTTTATCAGGAACAGATCAATGAAACTTTATTAACAAGAAAAAAGCAGGAAGTTTTGACCACAATATAATAATAGTCGTAGATTCTCAATGCAATTGGAAATAATAATAAGAACTCTATTGAGACTTGAGAGGAAAACTGTACCTTTGAAAAGATGTCAAGATCATGCAGTTTTGCAGCAGAGAGCGATAACTGCAGGCATGATTGCAAGTAACTGCATCGTTATGCTTAACAAAGAGAATTGGATAGCTAAAACTAAATGCAGAAAAAATGGATCCAAGATGAAAGGAAAAGATGCATATAGAAAATTAAACCTCTGCCCAAATTCTTTTATGCAAACAGAATCACAAATTTGATATAAAAAATTTAAGATTCACAGAAAAGGATGCAAAAAAAGAAAGGCATACAAAAGGATATACGATTAGGGTCAAGGCTTGCAAAAAATTCAGATTTAGTATCCCATAAATATGTTTACTTCAGCTTCTAGTTTTCGCAACCATCCTTCTTAGAGTTTAGCTCATCATAATTTTAATATAATCAGTCATATTTATAAAACATCTTACCAGGAGGCTTATTTTTTGCATATATTCAACTTGCAAATTTCATACTTTATAAGTTCCTTTCGTTTGTCTCTCCTACTTTATAAGTTCCATTTTCTCTATCTTTCATGCCTCAAATTTAACTACACTTTTTCTTTTAACTTTCTTTCTTGTGATTTTATATTTTTCAAAGTTTTCTGCATTTTTAGTATTTTGCCAATCTTTATAGTATGTTAATTTTACACTAATTATATTTTAAACCACTTCATTCCACCACCAAGGTCTTTTAGTATTTTGTCATTTCTATTTCCATTCTTCTAAAATGTCCTTTGCAACTTTCTTTACATAGTTAGCCATTTTAAGCCATGTATAATTAGCCTTTCCATCTGAATTCCATCTTCTTTCTCTATCAATCTGCTAATTGTTGAAGACATCCCTAGTGCACACATCTAGTACCATTAATCTATGGTTTTTGGTTAATATTTCACCTTAAATAGCTTTGCAATCCTTGCATATCGATTTCCATGATCTTTAAATGTTATTAAGGAAAAATTTTTTATGCTTCATCTACTTTTAAATGTTATTAAGCATTCATGATTCTTTTCAAAATATGTTTTTATTACTCTCATGTCATGAACTATTGTAAATTCTAAAATTATATCTCATATTTCACTCTTCTTCTCAAACCAGAATCCTCCATGCACCATATCATATCTTGCACTTCTTTTTTCCCACATGCACATTTAGATCTCCTCCTATAAAATCTTCTATCATTTGGAATTGCTTAGATTAATCCCTCTGAGTTTTCCCAAAATTGTCTTTTAATTTTCTTTAATTTTTTTCTAAACCCACTTGAGATGCATAAGCACTAATTATGTTAACGATTTCCTTACCTAAAACAAGTCTAATTAAAATTATTTTATCTCCAATTTCTTGTTTTGGATCCCTGTCTACTATTATTGTTACTCCATTTCTATTAATTACTTCTCTCGTGTACAGTGTACTGTATTGCACCAAGGATTAACATAAGAAATCTAGAGCCAGTTATAAAGCATGGATCTTGATCTTCAACCTTGTTTGTTTCTACTATTTGTTTGTTTACGCTTACTTTATGAGTTTATAATTCATCATCATCCAAGCCTCATCCCAACTATATGAGGTCAACCACATGAATCTTGTTTCACCAGTTGCTCTATTTAATGCATATCATTGTTAAATTATTGGCACTTAAATAATTTCTTACTACTTTTACCCATGTCCTTTTTGGTCTACTGGTACCCATTTCCCTTCTAGCCCCTTCAACTCGTAACAAATCAATTTTTCATATGAGTGTTGTTGGTAATCTTCTATGAACATGACCAAACCATCTTAGTCTACTTTTTTTAATTTATCACCAATTGGAGACACTACCAAGTTCCTATGAATTACTTCATTTTTTATCATATCCTTTCTACTTTTACCATATATCAATCTCAACATATGCATTGCCACATTCAATTTCTAACATGTCGTTTCTTGACTGCCCAACAATCTATACATGCAACATAATTGGCCTTGCAACTATTTTATAGAATTTTCCTTTTAATTTAAGTAGTATTTGCCTAACACATAAAACTCTAGATGCACCCTTACATTTTCCATCTTGCACTAATTCAATAGGCAACATCCTCCTAAATCTCCCCCTTGTTATGAATTATCAAGCCAAGGTACTAAAAAAGGTCACATTGAGTGACCTTGATTTGCACTCTTGGTCGTCAATCTCAAGCTTATGTTGGGTAGCTGCCCAACTCAGATCCTCTTCGAGGAAGGATAACCTCTAGAATAGGGGAAAGTGAGAATGAAGAGACAAAGAGATCAAATCTTCTTATTATTCCCTTATTATAAGTACACCTTTGTATTTATATTGAATCTTGCCTTTAATGTAACTGATTTACAACAGAATTATAACAACTTGCCAACTTGTTTGATTGACATTATAAGATCCTGGACAGAAGTAGCACAATCTTCAAGAGTGAAAGAGAGAGTAAGGATGGAATGTAAACCCCCAGATGGTAACAGAATTAAACTGAACATTGATGGAAGTTCATTTGGAAATCCGGGATTGTCAGGTATCGGGGGAGTAATCAGAAATTCTGAAGGGAGGATATTAGCATTATTCTCTGGACCTATTGGCATGGGCAACACTCTAGAAGCTGAGGTAATGGCTTTGCTACAAGGATTGAAGATAGCTAAGAAACTTGGAATGAGGCAAATTGAGGTTGAAGGGGAATCCAAGGTGATCATCTCTTGGGCTAATAACAATAGAACTACTCCATGGACCTTCAAACAAGTGATAAGGGAAGTGGAAAAGGTTGCAAGGGAGGTAGTGGCAGAATTCAAATGGGTTAGAAGGAGTGCAAATGGGCTAGCTGATCATCTTGCTAAACAAGGGGCTTTGAGGCAACAATTGTTTTGGGCTGCATTGTAAAAGGGACGGAAATATGTATTTGTATGGGACTTCTAGTTCCATACACAAAGTTGTAAAACTTCTTAAATCTAATTTCAAATAAAAGTTTCCTTTGATGATCAAAAAAAAACTTTCCAACTTGCTTGATTCAATTAACTCCAATTGTCTTTGTACTGGCTTCCTTATGCTGGAGGTGGCCTTAACTGATTTACAACAAAATTATAACAACTTGCCAACTTGTTTGTGATAGGCCCCCAATTAACTTTACGTATGCCAGGAAGGGGAAAGGCCAGTTTTCGGCTAAGGGGGGAAATAATTGAACATGGGGGCAATTATAGTTGGAGGGAATAAGGAGAGTCTTGAGGCATTTATAGCTATGTCAGTTAGGAATAAGAAGAGTATGGGCATTTATAACTTGGTCAGCTGGGCATTTATTGAGGGAATCAGTTATGCTGTGAGAAGAGTATAAGAAGGGGATTTGGGGGATGGGGGAGATAGGCTTTTGTTGCGTGAAGAATACTGTGAGTGATTGGGAGAGTTGGCAGTCTCTCGAAGAACCAACCAACTGTTAATGTTCTTCTTTTCTTCTGAATAAATACCAGTTCCTTTGTTGATGTTCTAGTTGTGTGAATTCTGTTGTGAGTCTGAGAATTGTGTGTCAAGTTTCTGGGACCTATCAGTGGTATCAGAGCACGTCTTTCCTCGGCCATGGTGACAGCTAAGGAAGTGGCATCGCAGGTGGAGGGTTTCGAAGAACGCCTGTCTTCTCTGCATTCTGGATTTCGTTTGGAAATGGATGGCTTACGCAACGAGTTTCAGCAACTCGATCCAGATAAGGTAGCTGCTGGACTTTCGAAGATCTCGTCCCTAGAGAACTCGGTACAATCTCTGGAAGGAGGTGTTCAAGATCTGGTGAGACAATTTGATTTGTTGCTTCAGCAACGGGCCTATTCAGCTCCTTTGTCTGCAACTGACATTGCTCCTCCTTTAGTCACATCGAGTCGTGCGGCTGACAAAGGGAAGAGTGCAGCTTTCCCGACGTCTTCTTCAATGTCAGTGCCGAAACATACTTCTGATCCACTTCCTCGGAAGTTGGAGCTACCTATTTTTGATGGGGAAAATCTAGACGGCTGGCTTTTTCGTGCGGAGCGCTATTTGGAGATTAATGGATTGCTTCCGGCAGAGCGTCTGCGAGCTGCAATTGTCTGTCTAGAGGGCGATGCATTGGCGTGGTATTACCGGGAAGTTGGTCGGCGACCTTTTCGTGGTTGGATAGAATTCAAAGAGCTTCTCCTTGAACGTTTTCGATCGACTCAGGAGGGTAATTTACAGGAGCAGCTCTTCTCGTTACATCAGTCTTCTACTATTAAGGGATATCATCGCCATCGAGGTGATCTTCGCTCCCTTACGTGACCTGCCGGAATCAGTCCTTGAAGCAGCATTTGTTAATGGGTTGCACGACCCTTTCCTGAACGGTGCCATGAAGCRRGGTGACTGGTRTAGAACYAAAGACTTGGTACYTAAGGGCTCTGATTGGATTGTCAATGAAATGAAGAAATCTGGTCTTCGAGGCCGTGGTGGAGCTGGTTTTCCATCTGGCCTGAAGTGGTCTTTCATGCCA